AAGAAAACACTGGAGCCAAATGGAAAGAAAGAAAGAAAGAAAGAAAGAAAGAAAGAAAGAAAGAAAGGAAGGAAGGAAGGAAACACTGGAGCCAAATGTATGCTGTTCTCCATTTCTGCCTGGCATTGCCTGGATACAGTAGCTCTCTCCCCCTTTAAAAAAACAAAAAAAAAGATTGTGTACTTCACTTTAGAACCCCTTTATCTGCGTATCCCACCTGCAGTTGATACCACACATGGCTACTTTAACACGCTTGCAGTGTGGCCGGTGCAAGTTGGATTGTTAAATCTGCAGACCACAGAAGTTAATTGTGCAGTGCATCTCACTTCTGTTGGATGGAGAGGGCTTGATGTCTTGTGTTGGTCTGGTGAGGGTGGTAGTTATATTAGGAAAACTTACCCTGTCTCTGACCCAGTTGGAGGGAGGGTGAGAAAATGCTGAACATGTTTTAATCTAATAACCTAGAATTTGGTTGTTGAGCACTGTTGCTAAATATCTGGTAGTATTTAGGGGTATACTTTATGTACGGCCCCTTGTTCTTCTGTATGCTGTGCAGCTTATGGTGATGATTCATATTAAGAGCATTTTGGTTGTTCCAGAAGTTTCCTTAATTCCCCACCTAATTTCCCGTGCTCTGATCCATTTCTAGCAGCACATTGCCAGTCAACTGTGTTTCTCACCTTAACTTCACAGGTTCATTTTTCATATTGAGTAAGGTTTATATTGCTATTCACTCTCTTTGAGAGTAAACTTATATAATAGGATAGTTCATTTAAATTTCTAAAATAATTTTCAGGTGAAGTTTTGTTCTTTGTGTGTGTTTGTAAACTTGGTAGATTGGGCATGATGATTATGTGTGTTCCTTCTTTGTCCAACAGCTGTTATCCCCTGCAGATGTTTTGGGTTTTTAGTTACGCATGTCAGTTGGGGTTTCAATTTTGGATCATGTTGGCATAGGTTTACTCTAGTACTGTCTGTTGCTCCCTAAACAACTATGAAGCAGTCTCTTGTGACATCTTCTATAGTGAAATGGGCCGGACCTGCAGGATAGGCCAGGTTAAATGACACATATGTTTTCTGTTATTTTTCTGCTGCCCAAAGAGAGGCTCAATAAACCATTGCATCTGTTCCCAACTAGCACCTAGTGGGACAGCACTTTTTGGCCCATGCCTTGATTGTGACTTTTTCATTCCTGTCTTGCAGGCCAAGCTTCCAGATTTGCAACCGTTTCCTTCTCCAGATGGTGATACTGTGACCCAGCATGAGGAGCTGGTGTGGATGCCTGGAGTGAATGATTGTGACCTCCTCATGTACTTGAGGGCAGCCAGGTAATGGCGATCAGCTACACCTGCTTTTCTCAGGCCAGCCACACTGATTTGCAGGCCATAATCTTTCCTTTTTCCTGCAGTTTTATTTACCAGATAAAAATACTTTTTTGCCATGGTAAAGTCTTTGTTTTCTTCTTGGAATTTGCCCTACATCAGACTTTGAAACTCTTCAGAGATAAAATACCTTAAGTTGCACATGTGTTTAGCTGCCCCTCTCATTCCAGCTGACTAGTGGTGTCATTCACCCTGCATCAGCGCCACTCTGTGGTCCATCTCTCTTTGCTTCATGACTGTTCCCTATTCCCAATCTAAACTGGACATTTTTGTAGCTTATCTACACGAGAATGTTTACCTGTGATTTCCCGTAGAACTTACTGACATGCAAATGTCAAACGTACAGAAAAGAAGTTTAAATGTTTCCTAATAGGCAGAGATTTTTTTGTCTGCAGTGGTTTGGGAACTTTCTGCAGCACTGCCAGTGTGTCGCAGAAAAATTTGAAAGAAAGGCCACATGCATCAGAATTCTTGCTTTGGCCGGCTGCAGTCAGCAGCACTGTACAGTGTTATTTATACAGGAGGAAGGAGATGCATGCATGAAGTGAATGACTACTGTGACTTTGTCTCTGGACATTTTACTTTTGATTCAGCTCAAGGAAGTTGATGTATAGATGAGAAGAATTAAATTTCAGAAGTTAATTAATTTCATGTATTTTTCTAGAGATTGTTTCAACTTTTTCTTTAACCCATTGCAGTTAGTCATATGGAAACATTTCAGTTTAGTGTTTTGGCAGTACTGGGATTTGAACCCAGGACCTTCACACTGGGTGATACCCAGCCCTTTAATCTTTTTTTTGAGATAATGGCTAAGATGCCACAGCTAGATTTGAACTTGTGACTTCCTCCCTTAGCCTCCCAGAGTGCTAAGATTACAAATGTGTGTGACCACACCTGGTTGATACTTCTTTCAAAATATCATAATCTAAAAGAATATGGTAGGTAGCAAATGCACTGAAATCTGAAACTTACTACAGTACTATTTAAGAAAGAGAAGAAGTAATAAATGGATCTGACCTAAAGTAATTTTTTTATTTCCGAAGGAGTGAAGGGCTGCAGGTGTAGAAGCTGTACTTGGGACCCTGATTTATATATAAGCAAGTGGGAATGGACTTGTGTCTGAGCTGAAATATATTCTGAAAATTGAGAGGTAAAATTTTGTACTGAGGATCCTATGTGCTGATGAAGGAACAACTCCCTTTCTTCTGAAGGAGCATGGCAGCGTTTGCGGGGATGTGCGATGGAGGCTCCACAGAGGATGGCTGTGTTGCTGCATCTCGGGATGACACCACCCTCAATGCACTCAACACCGTAAGTCTTTGGAGGATGGTGCTTTCCCCTTATCTAGCTGTAGGGAAAGTGGAGGAGCGTGGGCACACTGTGTCCAGCGGCCTTCAGGTGAGCACTGGGCTGTGCTGCTGGAAGGTGAGTCCCGGCCGTGGCCCTTGGGCCAAGGCTGCAGGCTGCGTCTTGGTCCTCTAGGCCGGTGTCCTCGTCTGGTTTGTGCAGCAGGTTGAAGCCACAGTGAGGTCCCGCTATGGTACTTGATGCTTCCTGAGACCCCACTGAATGAGCACTGTGCACATAAGGTTCTTGTGAATTCTCTCAACAACTAACTACAGAAACAAATAGTATTATTGTCACCTTTGCAGACACAAGAAAACAGATTTAGAGACAGTAAGTTACACTCCAAGTTCCGGTAGTCAAGATGTGAGTCCAGAAGCGTTTCCCTTTCTTTACTGGATCTCTCACTGTGCGTTTGAGAGTGCTTAGAAAGATAAAGAAGATCCTGGACTTTGAACTTGTTTATCTTGAAGCATTTAATGTGTCACATGATTATAAAAACAAAGTTGGGGTTGTTTTTTTTGTTGTTTGTTTGTTTGTTTTGTTTGTTTTGTTTAAAAATGTATTTAGTACAGGGTCTCACTACACAGATCAGACTCATAGTGATTCTCCTGTTTTCAGCCTCCCACGTGCTGGGATTACAAGCACTTTCCACTATGCCTGTCTCAGCTTGCCCCAGAGGTGGGGCCAGCTCGGCATGTTGGGGATCAAACCCTGGTCCCTGCATCTGCCTTAGTAGGTGATTTAATCTTCTGAGCTATCTGGCTGGCCCCCAAAGTTGCTTTAAAAGTAACAGTCTCCCTAAGAAATCAAAAGGGAAAATCACATAAATGAGCCTAACAGTACTCAGTTTGTTGCATGATCTATCACTACAGTCACTCACTCACTTCAATCCAGTGACACCTTCACAGCAATGCAGGATGAATGCACACCACTCATTGCAAAGCACTCTGATTATTGATTCCAGTTCATTATTTTTGACACTTCAGTTTGGCCTTAGAGTATATCTTAAGGGCTATATTAGAAATGTAGTGCAGGGGCTGGAGAGATGGCTCAGTGGTCTAAAGCACCTACTTAGAACAAGCTTGGCAAAGCATTGGGGACCGCGGTTCAATCCCCCAGCACCACATGCCAGCCAGCCCGCCCCCTGGTGGGCTGAGCTGGCCACACACACCTCTCTCTCTCTCTCTCTCTCTCTCTCTCTCTCTCTCTCTCTCTCTCTCTCTCTCAAATAAATAAAAAATAAAAAAAAAGAAATGTAGTGTATTTTGAAGTTACATGTTGCAGGAAGTAATTCATGTCTATGTGCATTCTAATGCCAATTCATTAATATCTGGGGATAATTATGCATCATTTTCTGCTAAAATAGAGTACATGGTTATGTTTACATAGGACATTAAGCATGAGGCTGTGCAGTCCTAATGCTTCACCAGTGTAACTTAAGCTCTACCCTTACCCCCAGGACCCTTTTTTTTAGGTCTCTGTAGCTGAAAGAGATTCACAAGATTCTCTGTGAAATCTTTAAATAGATAAGAATCCAAGGCCAGATGAATTTTGAATGCGAACAATCCACAAAGTTTATAATATAGAAAATCGTCCACATTCCTATTGTAGGGGCTGTTTTATTGCACAGATCTATATAGTTTGCTGTTGAGGAAATAGACATGGATGTCCATGTGATGTGCGATTGTTATTCCTACTCTAATTATGGCTTGCGAGCATCACATAGTGCTCTGATAGTCTCTTGATGTCGGAGGTCGAGTAATCTGACTGGTGATATACTCTTCTAATTTACCGAGAGTTTTACGTTTCCCAAAAGTGCATTGGTCACTCATATACCTGCTCATTGATTTAACACGTAGCCTGGGTTGTGTTTTATGTTAGAAGAAAGACTTAACCAATAAGAATGAAGTACCAGAAATAGACATTTAATAAATACAGTAAAATCTTCATTATTCAAAACTCAACTGATTAGCCCAGTCATGAAAGCAGAAATGAGTGGCTCATACCTATAATAATCAGCTCTCAGGAAACTGAGGCAGGAGGCATGAGAGTGCAGGTGTGGCCTGGGCTAGACAGGGAACCCCTGGCTTGGAAGGAGGGAAAGGAGAAGGGAGGGGAGGCATCTTTATTAGGAACAGGCATACAGTGCTATGGCTCATTTCTTAGTTTTACAGGTGAAGGAGCAGCTGTAGATCTGAGTGACACTGCGAACAGGACAGGTGGGATGCAGAAGATTGTATACATCTTGTGTACTTTCGAGGACAGCCTTGGCCTGGGGGGAAGGAGTCTCCCCAGGAGACAGACTTCTCTATTGAGATCTTTGTAGAAAGGCTTTACGAAAATTTTGCTTTCATGACTGAGCTAATCAGTTGAGTTTTGAATAATGAAGATTTTACTGTATTTAATTAAATGTCTATTTTTGGTACTTCATTCTTACTCTAAACCCTCTAAGGATTCTGTAGAACAAAATTCTATACAGAAATAATTTTAGCTATTTGTATCTGTTGTCTTTTCTGGAAAGTTCCTTTGGAAGGTTTCATTAGCACTGCTGTAGTGTTTTTTGGCCTAGTGAGTTTCTATTTTCGTGAAACTGCATTCCCAGCATCTCAAGTTCTTACTATCTTGCTGGCTAGAGCTGGCTAGGTTGTGTTGTGCTGCTTTTATGTATAGGCAGTGAACAAGGATTATCTACCTGTGTACTGTGTGTATGCTTTGTGGTCAGTGGAATAGTTTACTTCTGTTTTAGTTTTTATACGTCTTTATTATACTGGCTTGAAACAGGTTGGATGTAGACATTTCTTTAATGAAAGTAATATGAATGGAAACGTCTTATGAGAAGGTAATGTTTGATTACCTTAGAATAATAGAAGATTTGAATCGGGTGAGACAAAAAGTTAAAAAGACATACAATGTTCTATGCAAAATACTTCATTAGAGGGATTAAAATTAAGTTAGCTATTCACAATGTGGAATAACTCTAAATGGTTAGTGTCTAGTGTATTTCTCATTTCCTGAAGTTGATACAGGGACATGAAATTCCCAAGTTGGCCTGAATGAGTTCGTGTTCTCTAAAACTGAAGAATGAATTTTAGGAACAGAGGGAGGCTGAAGGTGAAACTTTATTGGAATGGAAAGCTTCTGTCGGAGAGGGACAGAAGGGGGTCCCGAGCAGGTTGCCCAGGAAGCTGTCTCTTTCAGGTTGTTTTTATAGGACAAAACCATGCGGTGCTAAGGTAGAGACAAAGGGGTCCCGCGTAGGCGGATACAGGGTGGGGCAAAACTATGGTCAACCAATGGGATTACAAGCACCATTGCTCAGGTAAAATTTATTAGGCCTAGGCCCAAATGGGGTAGTGAGTCACGTAGCCAGCGGGCGACCTTATCTGGTGGCCTTCAGTCAATGATTCTTCCTGACTAATGAGCAATCCTGGATGCCAACTTTAGGGAGGTCAGCATTT